AAAAAAAAAAAAAAAAAGAAAGAAAAAGAAAAACAGTAAGTAAAAGGCCGAGTGTGGTGGCTCACACCTGTAATCCCAGCATTTTGGGAGGCTGAGGCAGGTGGATCATCTCAGAAGTTTGAGACCAGCCTGGCCAACATGGTGAAACCCCATCTCTACTAAAAATACAAAGCTTAGACAGGCGTGGCTGGGTGCAGCGTCTCACACCTGTAATCCCAGCACTTTGGGGGGCTGAGGCAGACAGATCATGGGGTCAGGAGATTGAGACCATCCTGGCTAACATAGTGAAACCCCATCTCCACTAAAAATACAAAAAATTAGCTGGGCATGGTGGCACATGCCTATAATCCCAACTAGTCAGGAGGCTGAGGCAGGAGAATCCCTTGAACCCAGGAGGCGGAGGTTACAGTGAGCCAGGATCACGCCACTGCACTCCAGCCTGGGCAACAAGAGCGAAACTCTGTCTCTAACAATAATAATAATAATAATAAATGCAATTTCAAAAAATAAATGGCAAGCTCTAACAACACAGGGCAGACTTCCAATGTGGCAAGCACCCCACCATAGTTGGGGAGCCCCTGAGTCTCCTGGGGAGACCCCACTTTCACTTCATTATTTTTCTTACTCTCAGTTCCTGGATGGGGTCCCTGAAGCATTAGCTTTTTTTTTTTTTGAGACGGAGTCTCGCTCCGTCACCCAGGCTGGCGTGCAGTGGCGCGATCTCGGCTCACTGACTCTCTTTGAAGCACAAACGTCCTTTTGTAAAACAAAAAACGCCGTCTCCTTTCCTCCTACACAAGTTAGGAGTTGCTGTAGTTACATTTGCTACAAATCTAGCACCTTTCGAGAAACTGCAGCCCTGCCCAGAAGGGAAACAGATGCGATGAGGCAACCTAGGAATTTTCCAGAACAACACTGCCCTCTGCAGATGCCGCCCGTGCCTTCTCCAGCAGGAACAAACCAGCCAGGCCCCTGGCCAGAGTTCCGGGGCCACCGCTGTCTCCCATCCTAAGTGGAAATGTTATTGTTGGTGCCCAGCCTGGTCTCACCTCTCCGAGGAAGCTTTCTGCCCTTTCTCAGCCACAGGATGCCCCTCCGATAGTCCCGATACAACTCCCTGGATCTGGGTCTTCTGTTGTCTCTGAATTTTCTCTGTCGTCTGCAGCCACATTTCCTCTTTCCCAGATCCTGGCTTTGCCCTGGTCTCCCTGCTGTCAACAGCCTCCTTCTATCCCGATTCCTCCTTCGGCCAGGCGCAGTGGCTCACGCCTGTCATCCCAGCACTTTGGGAGGCCGAGGTGGGTGGATCACAAGGTCAGGAGTTTGAGACCAGCCTGAGCAACATGGTGAAACCCCATCTCTACTAAAAATACAAAAATTAGCCAGGCGTGGTGGTGCATGCCTGTAATCCCAGCTACTCGGGAGACTGAGGCAGGAGAATTGCTTGAACCCAGGAGGTGGAGGTTGCAGTGAGCCGAGACCACGCCATTGCACTCCAGCCTGGGCGACAGAGTAAAACTCCGTCTCAAAAGAAAAAAATAAAATAAATTCCTCCCTGCTGGAATACCTTCTTTTCTTTTGCTTTTTTGAGACAAGAGTCTTGCTCTGTCGCCCAGGCTGGAGTGCAGTGGCGTGATCTCGGCTCACTGTGACCTCCACCTTCCAGGTTCAAGTGATTCTCATGTCTCAGCCACCCAAGTAGCTGGGATTACAGGTGCCCACCACCACGACTGGCTAATTTTTATATTTTTATTTATTTATTTTTGAGACAGAGTCTCACTCTGTCGCCAGGCTGGAGTGCAGTGGCACAATCTTGGCTAACTGCAATCTTCGCCTCCTGGGTTCAAGCAGTTCTTGTGTCTCAGCCTCCCAAGTAGCTGGGATTATAGGCGCGCGCCATGACACTCAGCTAATTTTTGTATTTTTAGTAGAGACAGCATTTCAACATGTTGGCCAGGCTGTTCTCAAACTCCTGACCTCAAATGATCTGCCCGCCTCGGCCTCCCAAAGTGCTGGGATTACAGGTGTGAGCCACCGTGCCCAGCCAATTTTTGTATTTTTAGTAGAGACAGGGTTTTACCATGTTGGCCAGGCTGTTCTCAAACTCCTGACCTCAAATGATCTGCCCGCCTTGGCCTTCCAAAGTGCTGGGGTTACAGGAATGAGCCACTGTGTCTGGCACTCCCCCCAGAAAAACTTTAAAAAGCATTCTAGGAAAGGTCAGGTCCTCAGGACTATCCCAACCCTGAGTCCTGGCCCCTCCTGGGCTTTGGTTGAATTGTGTTCACTGTGGCCCCTTGTGGCACGGACGCCATCTAGTGGCCCGTGCCCCCCACCAGCTGGTCAGTCCCTGGGCACTTGGCAAATTGCTAGAGTGTGGGAGCTGGGGGGCTGAGTGCAGTGGTTCTGTGCCCGCCCCACCCCCAGGAGCCTGAACGAACTGCGGGTGTTGCTGCTGGAAGCCAGTCGCCACTCCCCGGGGCCCGAGAGGGACCTGAGCCGCGAGGTGCACAAGGCTGAATGGCGCCTCAAGGAGCAGAAGCTCAAGGACGATATCCGGGGCCTGCGTGAAAAGCTGACCGGGCTGGTATGTGCGGTAGGGGTGGCCTAGGGGCAGGGTGGTCTTCGTGGGGCTGGGATAGCCTGGCTGTCAGGCCATGGAGACTGGAGACCCTCCTGGAATGACCCCAGGGACCACCGAATCACAGTGAGGATTTGAAATCTTCTAGGACCACAGGCAGGTGGAGGGACCTCGGCTAGCCCCTCCTGCAGACATCGTGGCTGCCTACGTGGCAGTCCATGTGATACGGTGCAAAGGAAAACTTCCTATGTGACCTGTCCAGAGGCAGGATGAGCCAATACAGGTGATGAGCTCCCTGTGCAGAGGAGTAATCAGCCACAAGACAGTGGTTCCTTGCTCAGGCTCCTGCAGCAGGGCTTCACGCATCTCAGTCTCAGGAAGGGGACGAGAACTGGAAAGCCTACAGCAGGCCTAGAACTCTGGGAGGCTGAGATTTCTTTTCTGCTATGAATAGGAACCTGATTTCACTGAGTCCCCAGAGAAGGGTTGGGGTAGGCAGGTATACTGGTAGCAGAGGACAGGACCATCCCCATCCCTTGGCCAGGCGCCATGGCTCACACCTGTGATCCCAACGCTTGGGGAGGCCCAGGCAGGTGGATCGCCTGAGATCTGGAGCTCGAGACCAGCCTGGCCAACATGGTGAAACTCCATTTCTACTAAAAATACAAAAATTAGCTGGGCATGGTGGTGCGCACCTGTAATCCCAGCTACTCGGGAGGCGGAGACAGGAGAATCACTTGAGCCCCAGAGGCAGAGGTTGCAGTGAGCTGAGATCCCGCCACTGCAGTGCAGCCTGGATGACAGGAAAAAAGGAAAAAAACCATCTCCATCCCCATCCTGTCCTCCTGTGATCAGCATTCAGGACTCAGGACAAGCCTGTGCCTGGTCAGTGTCACGATATGCAGGACGTGGGGTCCAGGAGGACAGGGCTGAGTCTGGGAAAGCTGCCCTGAAGCCCCCCCACCCTCCTGCCCAGCCCCTGGGCTCGGCTAATGCAGAGGCGAAGGAAGGAGAGCAGGGCCCAGCACTGGGGAGGTTTACAGGCTGGAGGGAGGACCTCAGCCCCGTCCGCCCATACCCGGGAGCAGGCCCTTGGCACTTAGGGTTCAGGGATAAAGGGTATCCCTCTGGCCGCACACCCAGACGGGCTGTGGGTGGTCACTGAGTCCTGCTGGTCTCCAAGTCCCGGCCTGTCTGGCCCGCAAGGGTTTGGTGCCTGCGCCCTCTGTGGTCCTCATGGCTCAACAGAAGATAAACCCCTGGGGTTGACACAGACTGGGGAGTCTTGAGTCCCCCCAGGGGCTTCCCCAGAGCCTTGTAGGAGTGGGCAGTGCTGAGGTCAGACTCGTGCCCATGGGCACAGGTTGGTTGAGTTCCCTCCCTCCCTCCCTTCCTTTCTCCTCCTTTTTGAAACGGGGTCTTGCTCTGTTGCCCAGGCTGGAACTGGCGGCCTCTGCCTCCCGGGTAGCCAGCCTCTCGCCTCATCATCTCCCTGCACCGTGTCCACGGGAGAACTTGGGAAGGGCTGGGTGGCTGGGTAGAAGCCTCTTGATTTTGGGAGGGAGGTTCTGTTGAGAGGAGGTTTGGAGGTGAGAGCAGGCAGGACTGGCAGTGCTGAAGGATGGTTTGTGCAGGAGCGACGGGGCTGGCGGGCCGTGGGGCAGGTACAGCTCTGGGTGCCACGGTCGGGGCGACTGTGGAGAGGAGGCACCTCGTAAGGCAGTTGGGTGGGGGGCAGAGTAAGAAGGAAAGAAGGGTCCCAGGCATGATGGCGCGCACCTATAATCCCACCCCTTTGGGAAGCCAAGTCAGGAGGATGGCTTGAGGTCAGGGGTTCGAGACCAGCCTGGACCTCATAACAAGACCCCATCTCTACAAAAAAATTTAAAAATTAGCCAAGTATGGTGGCATGCTCTGTAGTCTCAGCTGCTCAGGAGGCTGAGGCAGGAGGATTGCTTGAGCCCAGGAATTGGAGGCTGTAATGAGCTGTGATTACACCACTGCACTCCAGCCTGCACTGTAGAGTGAGACTCAGGCTCTCTCTCTCTTTTTTTCTTTTTTTGAGACTGAGTCTCACTCTGTCACCAGGCTGGAGTGCAGTGGTGCAATCTCGGCTCACTGCAACCTCCGCCTCCTGGATTCAAGCAATTCTCGTGCCTCAGCCTCCTGAGTAGCTGGGATTACAGGTGCCTGCCACCACACTCAGCTAATTTTTGTATTTTTAGTAGAGATGGGGTTTCACCACGTTGGCCAGGCTGGTCTCGAACTCCTGACCTCAGATAATCCACCCGCCTTGACCTCCCAGAGTTTTGCACCACGCCTGGCCTCTGTCTCTTTTTAAAAAATAAAAGGGAAGAGGGAGGAGGTCCTGGGTTTCTGATTTGGAGAACATGAATCACCTCACAGAGGCCTGAGGAACCTCTGGGTGATGCCCAGGCTTGGAACCCAGAGACAAAGTGAGGCTGGGAGACTTTCCTGCCTGAGGCGAGACCCCACCAACACACACAGATGCTCACACACACACACGCACGCGCGCGCTCAGGTATGTGCAGGTGCATGCATGCACACACACACTGATGAACTCTTCCCTTCTCCTGCCACTTCCAGGACAAGGAGAAGTCCCTGTCGGATCAGAGGCGCTACTCCCTCATCGACCCGTCCTCCACGCCCGAGCTCCTGCGGCTGCAGCACCAGCTGATGAGCACGGAGGACGCCCTGCGGGACGCGCTGGACCAGGCTCAGCAGGTGGAGAAGCTGATGGAGGCCATGAGGAGCTGCCCCGACAAGGCCCAGGTGAGCCGCGGCCGGCAGGGCCCAGCAGGAGACCAGCCTCGGGGCAGCGTCCTCGGAGCCCCTGTCTGAAGGAGGAGGCAGCTGTGTCTCGGGAACCCCAGTCTGAAGAGGGAGGCAGCCGTGTCTCGGGAACCCCAGTCTGAAGCGGGAGGCAGCCCTGTCTCGGGAGCCCCAGTCTGAAGGGGGAGGCAGCCCTGTCTCNCAGTCTGAAGGGGGAGGCAGCCCTGTCTCGGGAGCCCCAGTCTGAAGGGGGAGGCAGCCCTGTCTCGGGAGCCCCAGTCTGAAGGGGGAGGCAGCTCTGTCCTGGGAGCCCCAGTCTGAAGGGGGAGGCAGCTCTGTCCTGGGAACCCCAGTCTGAAAGGGGAGACAGCCCTGCCCTCTGGGAGCCCTGTTTCAAGGGATACATGGCTTTGCCCTGAGGAGCTTAGACTAAGAAGGAGATGCAGCCTTGCCCCAAGAAGCTTGGGATTTGGGGTGCTGGGAGCCCCAGGCTGAAGGGGTTGGAATTTGGAGCTGGAGAAGATCCCATGGGAAGACCCCGCCATCTAGTGGGCAAACTGGGAAGTGCTGCCTGGTGCCCCCCGCTCCAGCATCTTCCCCAACTCTTCCAGACCATTGGCAATTCCGGTTCTGCAAACGGCATCCACCAGCCGGACAAAGCTCAGAAGCAAGAGGTGAGGCGCGCCCCGGCCCTCTCACATCCCTCCCGGGCCGCAGGCCTCTCTGGAGAAAATCCCTGAAACGTCACCAAAAAAACAGGCAAAGATGCATTCTGCAAGGCGCTTTACGATAGGGCCACTTAGGGAGGGCGTGGTTGCAGCAAACGTGATGGCAGGTTCACCCGACTCTTTTGATTTGTGTTTTCTTCCCTTCTTTATTTTTTTTTCTTTGAGATGATGGAGTTTCGCTTTTGTTGCCCAGGCTGGAGTGCAGTGGTGCGATCTCGGTTCACTGCAACCTCCACCTCCCGGGTTCAAGTGATTCTCCTGCCTCAGCCTCCCGAGTAGCTGGGATTGCAGGTCATGCCACCATGCCCAGCTACTTTTGTGTTTTTAGTAGAGTTGGGGTTTCATCATGTTGGCCAGGCTGGTCTCGAACTCCTGACCTCAGGTGGTCCACCCACCTCGGCCTCCCAAAGTGCTGGGATTACAGGCGTGAGCCATCATGCCTGGCTTTTCCTTCTCTTCTTAAAAAAGTTATACGTTGTAACTTTTCTAAGAAGGGAATCTGTAACCCCAGCACTTTGGGAGGCTGAGGTGGGGGATCACTTGAGCCCAGGAGTTTGAGACCAGCCTGGGTAACATAACGAGACCCTCTCTCTACCAAAAAAAAAATATTTAGAGATGTCGGGTATGGTGGTGCACACCTGTAGTCCCAGCTACATGGGAAGCTGAGGCAGGAGAATCGCTTGAACCCGGGAGGCAGAGGTTGCAGTGAGCCGAGATCGCCCCACTGTACTGCAGCCTGGGCAACAGAGCGAGACTTTGTCTCCAAAAAAAAAGAGAGATGTGAAACTGAGGCTTGGAGTCCCCAGTGTGATGTCCTCTGCGCCAGCCCTGCACAGGAACTCAGGGCTCTTTGTAAAACTGCTTCTTCCTCTCAGCTTCCCATCAGCACCTCCCACCTGCCACCTTCTTTCTCAGCCCCAGATGCACAGTGGGGAGGATCTTCCTGCCTCAGGGCCTTGGCACATGCTGTTCTCTGTATGCTGCTGTTCCCTCCTCCCCCACCCCAGCCCCACCTCCTTTCCTCCCTGCCCCCTCTCTGGCTGCCTGTCCCTCCAGGCTCCCAGAGACCCTTGCTGACCATGTCCTCTCTCTCTCTCTAGGACAAGCACTGACCCCAACGGGATTCCGTGGAGTGGCCCAGTCCACAACAGAGCCCCCTGAAGCTGCCCGGTGGCACCTCCTCCAGGCAGGAGCCGGGACTCTCACTTTGGAGACAAAACAGTGTTTGAAACAATAACGTACTCACCGCCGTGGACAATCCCCCACCCCGATCCCCTGCCAGACCAGGAAGCTTCCTCAAGCCCGGCCTTCCGCAGAGAGTGAGCAGTACAGCTCTGGCCCGACCCGGGGACCTTCGGCCCGGATGCCTGGCAGCTTCCAGAGTTTGTCAGTGAAGGCAGAGGGATCCAGCGAGGCCCAGAAGGAGCTGCCCTGATGACCATCTTAGCGCCCCTGTGCTCTTTTTCTGCCTGTTCTCCCTCGGGTCTCCCCAGGATGCGGGAGGGGGGCTCAGTTTGTCCATGCAGGCACCAAGGAGGAAAGTCCAGTCTTTAAGGGTCAAATGGGAGCCCCTTTTCTGAAGCCATTTCCAGGCCAAGGCAGTCCCCAGGGCTTCTTGTCCCCACCTTCTGAACCTTCTTCAAACAGTGGTACAGGTTCCCCTCAGCCAGCCTGCCTGCCCAGCGAGGCCCCCAGGTTCAAGGTGTTGGCAGGTGGGGAACAGGATCCTCCCCCCACCGCCCATCAACACCAACACACACACACACCTCTAAGCTGCTGGCCGAGGATGTCACCAAGGCCCCAGAGCCACAGTATTATGAAGGTTGGGAAGTCCCTCTCCTCACCTCCCACCGTGACCTTGAGCAAACCCTGGCTCGGAGCCTGGGGCAGGGGGAGCCTGGGGTGGAGGCTCCAGGCAGGTTTGACAAAGGTCAGTAATACGGTGTCCCCTGGGGCTGACCAGATCTTCCAAATCATCTGTATCCACCTGCAAATGCATATGAGCGGGCCCTTATGTACACACCGCATTCACACACACATACACACACACACTCAGAGGGACCACGTGTGCCCACGATCGTGTGGGTGGTGCCGTGAACCACACCCAGGCCACACAGAGACACATATTGGCTTCTGGGACTGAGACCCAGGCCTGGCAGGACGGTACCCACAGACACTGCAGACATTCCCACAGCTGAGAGGTGTGCCCACACCAGGTACATGCAGCCAGGTGTTCAGGGGTGTGTGTGCCACACAGAACAGCCCTTCCTGGTCTCACCAGTCACCTGCACAGCACGCCTCCAGCCCCATCTCCTCGCGGGGGCTGGGGGGAAGACAAATCTAACTGTCCCATGCCCCCCAACCCCCACCCTGTCTTCCCCTCAAGCCTGCTAAGTTATCCCAGGCCTGTGCGTGCTGGAAGAAGCCAGCCTTGGCCCTGCAGCCTCCTCTCCGCTGGGGAACAGTCGGGTTGCTTACAGCTTTGCCCCCCGGCCACCCGGCATCAGCACAGGGGGTCCTGCCCCACCCTCTGGCAGCTCAGGGAGTGTTTTCCTTTGAGGCCTCCTCCACCAGGGGACCAGAGGGAGAAGCCCAGTGCCCCATCCCAGCTTTCCCTTAACGCAGAGGACGCGTGTGCAATTCATAGGAACGGCCCAGGCCGCCCTTGTGAGCCCCGCCTGGTACAGGTAGGTGGCACTCACGCTCCTGCGCACGTGCAGCCCAAGTGGGAGTCGGAGTCAGTCCTCTGGGCCCCTTGCCAGTCCCCGTCGGCTTTCGGTAGCTCGCATGCAGTTCTAACAGCTGTCTAGAAGCAATGCTTTAGTGGCCTAACCCAGGGTCAAATACAGCTCTTTCCAGCCAAGTCAGGCAGCTCTGCCCCATCTGCGGGGGCACCGATTAGTCCACTAACAGCCAGAGATCCACCCAGCAGGGCACCGGGAGGAGCTGGGGCACCTGGTGGTGGGTTTCCCTGGGAGCCTCTTCCTCCAAGGGCCTCTCCACCCACCCGGTGTGGCCGCCCAGGGGCGGGGCTCAGCCATGTCCCATGTCCCTTCCCCAGGTCTGTCCCACGCCCCTCCCCTCCCCACAGTGGAATTGTTGAAGTGTGGCGAGTCTGTGCTCAGGACAGTAAAGCTTGTGACAGGTCCAGGACCCCTGTGGTTGGCTCATCTGCTCCTCTCCGTGGGGACCCTGGGTTCCTCCGTCTCTCCCAATTCTTGGGCACCCTGGTGCCCCCCGATCCTGCCCTCTGCCAGCTCATTCCTTCCCAGGTAGGCACAGCCTCAGAGGGGCAGGAGCTGAAGACATCTGGGGCTGTCCTTGTCCTAGGAGAGGCACCTTAGCAAGGACAGGCCCGGGAAGGCCGCCGGAGAGGGCCGGTCCCTGTTTCGCATTTGAACCTGCTGGAGGAGTAAGTAAGCCTGCAAGGAAATCGACGGAATCAGCGATGGACCCGCTCACACACGTGTGATGATGACTCTGATGAGGTTTCCAGCTTCAGTAGGCAAATTCTGGTTCCTGCAGCAGGATTTCTGCAGATCGGATCACCAGCACAACGTGTTGCAAACTTTGTAATCAAACAGGCTTTGAAGTGGAAGTTGCCTCCCTGGGAGATGGAACAAGGATCTTTTTTTTTTTTTTTAACTGCAAGATGGAGTTTAACTCTGTCGCCCAGGCCAGAGTGCAGTAGCACGACCTTGGCTCACTTCAGCCTCCCGGAGCAGTTCTCCTGCCTCAGCCTCCCAAGTAGCTGAGACTACAGGTGTGAGCCACTAAAAATACAAAATAATTTTTGTATTTTTAGTAGAGTCGGGGTTTCACCGTGTTGGCCAAGCTGGTCTCAAAACTCCTGACCTCAAGTGATCCACCTGCCTTAGGCTCCCAAAGTGCTGGGATTACAGGCGTGAGCCACTGCATCAGTTCCTCAGAATGTTTTTTTTATTTTTTGTAGAGACAAGGGTTTCACTCTCTTTCCCAGGCTGGAGTGCAGTGACGCGATTTCAGCTCACTTCAACCTCCGCCTCCTGGGTTCTCATGCTGGGACTGCCACCATGCCCGGCTAATTTTTTTTTTGT